TGTGTGTGTGTGTGTGTGAGAGAGAGAGAGAGTGTGTGTGTGAGTGTGAGTGTGAGAGAGAGAGAGACGGAGTGTGTGTGTGTGTGAGACGTACTTTAGGCAGCTCCATGAAGGAGGGTCGTGCGGTGGAGATCAGCCCGAGCGTCTTCAGAGAGCAGTTGACCAGCTGAGAGAGGATGTCACACGCCGCTTCTGCAGATTCAGTGCTGCTGTCCACCTGAACACACACACACGTCAGGAACACGCATCCCCTCAGACACCTTCTAGATCGCCCTGCAGTGACAGAGCGACAGTCTCACCTTGAAGCTGACGTACTGCAGGTGGTTGGAGTGGCGCTTGATGATCTGCTTGACGAGGTCCGGATGCGTGGCCTTCAGGTAGGAGCTGGCGGGCTGGTTGAACTCGAACTCGAAGCACCTCCAGAGCTCAGGCATGTGGAAGGTCTGGTTCCAGCCGCGGCACACCTGCGAGGCGAAGGCCCGGTCCAGCAGAGGCAGGTACTGGAAGATCTGCAGCAGGATCTCCTCGGGCAGCTGCCTCCAGTCCACCGCCCCGTCCTCAGAGTCGCCCTGCCGGAGCCGCTTACAGAGCTCAAGGGCCCCGGCCCGTCGCCCTCCTCCGCATTATCACCTCCCTCCTGGCCTCTTTTCATTCTGAAGACACACACATCAAGAGTGGCTGCCTTCAGAATGCAGTACTAGTTTACTACGCACTGCATGATGGGACAGTTTAACTGTTTATAGCATCTGCCACAGATATGACAAGTACCAACAAGTAAGCGAAAATTAAATAACTAACCTATATATAAATAAAAAAGCCTGCATACTAGAAACATAAGTATGCTACACTCTAGTCACATGACCTCATCATGATGTTTGTGAAAATATCAGATAAAGTAAATAATTATACTGAAATTGCATTGTGGGATACAGTCTCTCAGTCTTCAGTGCAATACTACACACTGCAGCAGTAGTGACTAACTGAGGTGTGTTATTGAGGACACAGCCCGAGTGAATGTTTACATGTCTGCAGGTGTTTTTCTCAACAGTCTTTTCTTTAACTCCCTGTGATTAAAGAGGATCTGCTGTGATCTTCTGAGATCATCTTGTTCATCTAACACATGATGATGAACAGCAACTGCCACGAACGCTCATGCGTGAATTAAATAAACATGGAAAGAAACGCGACAACGCCCCGCTTGACATCATCATCATCATCATCATCAATGAATCAAGCACCAGCTGTGTGAGAAAAACACTGAACAGACATTAATATTAAAGCAGCATTAATCTGCATATATTAAACACATGTCAAATATACCATCTTTGTTGTTTCCACATAAATGTGGAGGTTCAATGTGAAATTATGACAATATAAATATTATATTAATATGCAATTAATTACAAAAAAATCGCAACTAATTATAACTAGCTGTTTTATAATCAATTAACAGCACTAATACACAGCCGTTCAAACGTTTGGGATCAGTAAGATTTTTATTACTTTTTAAAGAAGTCTCTTCTCATCAAGGCTGCATTTATTTGATCAAATATACAGAATAAAACACTGAAAAATTGTGAAATATTATTACAATTTAAAATAACAGTGTTCTATGTGAATCTCTGTTAAACTGTAATGTATTTCTGTGATGCGCAGCTGTATTTTCAGCATCATTACTCCAGTCTTCAGTGTCACATGATCTTCAGAAATCATAATAATATGCTGATTTATTACCACAGGTTCCAAAAAGAAATATTAAGCCGCAAAAACTGTTTCCAGTATTGATAATAAATCAGCATATTAGAATGATTTCTGAAGATCATGTGACACTGATTATATATTTCAGTAATGATGCTGAAAATTCAGCTGCGCATCACAGAAATACATTACAGTTTAACAGAGATTCACACAGAAAACAACTGTTTTAAATTATAATAATATTTCACAATATTTGATCAAATAAATGCAGCCTCGATAAAAATCTTACTGACCCCCAACTCTTGAACGGAAGTGTATATAAACACACACACCTGGCCTTGTTTAACCAAACTAATTTGACAAATAACCGCTTAAGAGTGTATCTGTTCTTCACAGCGAGTCACGTGCTTTTCGTGGTCACGTGGATCTTGAGGCCTCAGAGCAGCGTGAACGTTCCGCTAAACATCTGAATAAAGTCGCAGAACGACGCGACGCGAGTAAATCACGACGGACGCGTCTGAAGCGGATCGTGTTTGTGTCCGTCCCGCGCTACTGTCGCCTGTTTTCTCTCGAAAAGCTCGCCGGTGTGGGTTCCGCGGTAACGGTACCTGTGTCGCAGCGCTGCTCGTGTGCTGATCGGTGATCGGTGTGCAACACTTCATCCGAGCGGCCCCGCCGAACACGATCATTGGCTCTCGGTTGATGCGGCGGATCCTCGCGCTCAGACCGGCGGCTGCAGTGAAGGTCGCTTCGAGTGTTTCCCGCGCGTCTCGTGACCCACTGACTCCGCGGAAAATGGCGATGTGTTGTGTTTAGAGCGAGCGGTGCATTCTGGGTAAAGTGGAGCGAGTGCAGTTCCGCGTGCTGCCAGCAGAGGGCACAGTGTACACGTGTAGTTCTCACACTCATTCGAACTCATCCGAGAGGTTCTGCAAACTCGGTGAGAACAGAAAGCATTGACTGAACCGAATGACATCCAGCCAATAAAACAACAGAGAAAACACACTGGCATGTTTCCTACATACTAGACATCAAATAAAGACTAACCTCATGAGTCAGCTGGCTGATTTATTTGTGCTGCTCATAATGTTTATATTTCTATGCCTTTTTATGGATGATACAATGGTATTTAATTTGGAGGCACAATGATCGAGCAGTTGAGATTTGCTTGTTACATTAAATCACTTCATGTGAGTACATGCACGCCAGTAGAAGCTGGCTATACATATAATAGCTGTCAGTTGAAGTTGTATTTTTTGTTTAATTTTGTGGCGATGATGATGATGAAATCTGTTTTGGTTTCTGATGTTGTGACAGACGTTGTTGTTGATGTGTGTGCTCACAGAAACATTCAGGACACACCGACATCATCATCATCATCATCATCACTCGCTCATTCAGTCTGAATTATGTTGATATGAGATTTAAGTAAAGCGGCCAAGAACATTTAAACCAGCATTACAGGACACCAAATACATGATGCAGTTTCACTGTGAACACGGTTTTAATGTAATCTGAGATGAGCAATGCAAGTCAGTTCATCTGTAAGATAGAAAGTGTTTAATTCAACTGTGGCTTTGATTCTTCATGTCAACATATTCTAAAACACACACGACACACTCGCTCACACCAGACGGATTAAACATCCGGAAACAAAACTGATCCCTGGAAATATTCACAAGAATGTATTTTAAAGCAGCTAAAGGCAGTTTAAACGTCATCTGCCAATAATATATAAAATACAAAAATTCTGAAGCAAGACTCGTCTCGGTCTTATCGTCCCGTGGAGAAACTTCTACTCGTCTGTTTCTCTCTGCCGGAGGCTCCTGGACTTGCCGTTCTCAGTCTTCCTCTTCTTGAACGTGGCTCCGGCGCTGCTCTCGGCCCCCAGCGACGTGATGGTGCGCTCCCTGAATCTGGCCCTGGGCTCCGGAGGGACGTCGGCTGGAGTCTGAGCGACGCTTTCCACCTGCGGCAGCTGCAGATCCACCTTCTCGCTGCGGAGCAGAACACAAACAATCGTCAGGAGCTGAACACACTGACACGACACGGCACTAAACGTGTTCATTATAAAACTGACAACAATGTCCTTAAAAGTCAAATGTTAAAAAAAGAAACATAAGTAGCAACACATCTTCCACATTGGAAGAAATGTTTTATCACAAAAGAACAAAATGTAGGGCGGGGCTTGGTTCTATGCACTGGTTGGTGATTGGATGTTGAGATGTGGGTGTGGCTCTGAAAACCGGGGCGGATCTGAATGCGAGTTTGCATTGGATTGTAAGAAGGGGGCGGAGTTAAACCAGACTTAATGATTAGAAGACGTGTCGTTTCACTGGAAGAGCCAGTTTTGACATTTTGATTAAAAATTAGGAGGTAAAAAAGAAATTAAACAGATGAATCATTCACAATAAAGCCAATAACATGCATATGATGTGATATGATGAATTTACATTTCATGCCGGACTTAAAATGTATTTATTCATATTTTAATCATTTATTAATATTACCATGAATAGCTTTAGAAAAACTCATCAGGCTTGTTGTCAACAATCTGGTTTCTGTTCAGTAACTGGTGTCATGAACACACTGCAGCGATCGGAGCAGCTTCTGATGAATTAAATAACTGATAACAGCACTTGTGCCTTACTATGGATCCTCCTGCGGCTGGATCTGTTCCCAGGCTCCGTATGGATTGGTCTTTCTGGGTCTCTTCACAGGCGTCTCGTCCTTCTTCACTGTGTCAGTCACGGCAGAATCTTCACGTTTCTCCTCACCGCTTCCGCCATCATCTGAGCTTCTCTCTCCTCCATCATCCGCTGACGTTTGGACCAGTTCTTCTTTTCTTTTCTGTGTGGAGATCAAACACACAGACGTGTCATTCTGTGCGTGTTTATTATGTCTTACGGTGAGTGTTTATGATGTCATTCTGTGCGTGTTTATGACGTCATATGGTGAGTGTTTATGATGTCATACGGTGAGTGTTTGTCATACGGTGAGTGTTTGTCATACGGTGCGGTGAGTGTTTATGATGTCATACGGTGAGTGTTTATGATGTCATACGGTGAGTGTTTATGATGTCATACGGTGAGTGTTTATGATGTCATACGGTGAGTGTTTATGATGTCATACGGAGTTTATGATGCCATACGGTGAGTGTTTATGATGCCATACGGTGAGTGTTTGTCATACGGTGAGTGTTCATGATATCATACGGTGAGTGTTTGTCATACGGTGTTTATGATGTCATACGGTGAGTGTTTATGATGTCATACGGTGAGTGTGAATGTGCCCGACAGCATCTCACCCTGAAACTGGTCTTCAAGAGGCTGGTTTGTTTGGTTTCGTCTGGTTCTGGAGTGTCTTTAGGAGGGTCAGATGTGTCTTCAGCTCCAGACACAGACTCAGGCTGAGGAGGAGGCAAATCTTCTGCTGCTCGCGTCTCCTCACGAGGAGATTCAACACCAGGAGGAGCAACATCCTCTGAATTTAAATCATCTGGTTTCTCCCAGCTGGACTCTGCTCAGGATGAGACAAACAGCTTAGGAAAGTAAAGCCTGACATATGAAATAATAGTCAGGAAAATGTAAAGATTTGGAGATGGAACTGAATATTGAGCACTTACAAATAAAAGTTTTTTATTTTATGTATCATGCTTGATCCATCAGGCTCATATAGTCTGATATAGTGAGAATATGGAGGAAAAAACAGATCAATTTCATTCAGAGACTCAAACTGAGCAAAAATATGTAATTTACTGCAGCTGCTGCTATTTATATGTTTGTAATGTAAATCAGTGAGATCTTTCTTACAGTACAGCAGATACTGACATAAAATGCTATAAATATCAGTCGTCGCTCTATATCTGCAGTAATCTGTCTCAGTAAGATGAGATTGAAATGATCCAAACATAATACAATGCTGATTAAAAGATGAAGAAATAAAGGCTCCTCAGAAGATGTGAGATGTTCTGGAGGCTTGTGAAGATCATTCCTCCGCTGAGGAACAGTGAAAGTAAAGCTTCTGGAAACAAACGCTCCTCAAAAGATCCTGAGGATCAGATTTGAGACTCTAAAACATGATTGATGGAGAATCAAGTAAAGCTGAGCTGCTTCAGTCCAGTAAGTGTTCATCTGGAGATATTACTGCAGTTATTCTGACCTTTACTTGATCAAAATCAGTCAAGATTTGACACGAGAAGCTCCAGTAGAAGCTGGATGTTTCTACAATTACACTAAAAAAGCTATGACTGGATAAAACACTCTAAACTCTCAATCAGACGACAGAAGACATGGAGGAGATTGCGTGTGAAACAGGTTTAACAGCAGAGTTTGATCATTTACAGTTTACAGGGTTATATTGTCTAATGCATACTATGATGTGAAGCTGAATGTGTTCAGATGTTTTCTCACCGCCCCTCTCAGTGTTGTAGTAGTACATGTATCCATCAGGACTCACGGCCTCCATCCACGCACCGCCTGACGGATCCTGTCACACATAAACATGACATTAGATCTGAACACGTGAACCTCAGACTCACAGACAGACGGTTTTACCTGCGCTTGTCCTGCGGCTGATGACGAGCTCTCGTCCACAAACCCGTCTGGTTTCTCCCATTGAGACTCTGAGATCAAACACAGTCAGTGATGATGGACTCGGACGGACACGCGTGTGCGTCTCAAACATCAGCTCACCTCCAGTGACGGTATTGTAGTAATACAGCAGGCTGTTGTTTGTGGTTCCTCTCAGCCAGACGTCCGGCCGGCCGCCGCCGCTGCTCTCAGACGGGACGCTCGCTTTGAGTTTCTTGGGTTTTTTCTGCTTTTTAACAGGAGCTTCTGACGGAGCCACACTCTCACCTGTAGAGACATGAGAACTGTGAGGAGCAGCTTGATCTCACACTCACACTCTCACACTCTCACACACACGCACGCACTCACGCCTACACACTCACACACACACTCACTCACTCACACTCACTCATACACCTACACACACACACTCACACACACATACACATTTTCTCACACACACCTACACTCACACACACAGACCTGACGACTGAGCTGCGAGTCTCTTCAGATCCTCCTCATACGCCTTCAGAGCCGCTTCCTCCATCGCTGCGAACTCCTTCGACATCTTCTGCTCCTGCTTGGCCTTCGCCACACTTTTCTTCTTAATCTGTCATGAACATTGACGGGGTCACATGAGCACTGCCGGCCAATCAGAGAGCATCTCACTCTTATCTTCACACACACGCAGCTCTATGACAGCAGCAGCAGCCAACATGCAGTTTACTTCAGATCACACCCACTGCATCTGACAACACGCAGACACCGCATCCCATAATGCACAGCACTGTAGTGTGAATGAATGAGCAGGAGCTCAAATCAATCTGTCTGAACGTCTCCTTGAAATGGCGAGAAAGGCTTTTTGCATAAAATTGAAATCAAAAATGCAAAACAATGATATCTCTGAGATGATGACTTATGAAATGAAACATAATGAGGTCATGTGACACTGGCTCTGTTCAGGATGCAATGCACGCCCAATAATGTGAAATACATTTTTCTGCTTTATTGTCACATGAACTCATCATATTGCGTGTGAGTGGAATCCAGTAATTATTCTACAAATGAAGTTATTTTTTAAATTGTCAGGCTGATTAAAGTCGCCATGAAACTGAGATTGCGATTTTCTTGTGACGTCTCAGAGTGAAGCAACTTCTTTATTCATTACAAGAGCAGATGCATTTTTACAAAATAATGATGTGCACAGATGAATAAATTATACAGATTCTCTTGTTAGGTTTCATATTTTGCATTAAAGATATGAAACATTAGAAACATAATAAACACTCCAATATTCCATAAGAAATAAGAATAGTCAATTCTGGTGACTTTAAACAAAATTAATTCCCATTGGAAGCAGAAGGTCTAGTGCACTGCATTATGGGATGGCAGTGCTGCACATTTTGCCAAATGTAGAAGATCATCAGTGTATTTCACGCATAAATGTGCACAGTGAGTACAGTAACACACAACAGAAACAGAGAGAACAGACACTGTGCGTTATTTAAGAGTCACACAACATCCGCTAGACTGCAGTGCGCACTGTGTAGTATGCAGCATGCAGTATGCACTAAACTAGTGTTGCATTCTGATCACAGCAGATCTTCTTGCTTTACCTCTGAAATTTTGGCCGCGACATTTTCTTTGTGATTCTTCCCTCTCTCGTGGAACTCGATGCTCTGCGAGAAAAGCAGGAGAAAAAACTCTGTTTATGAACACAAAACACATCAAGCGCTGCAATGCGTGTCTGCACTCGCTCACGGGCTTATTATCCGCGATCCAGCATTTGCAGTACTTTCAGAACTTCCTCGGCTGTGATTTCCAGTAATCAGCCCTTGATCACACACACACACACACACACACACACACACACACACACACACACACACACACACACACACACACAACGAGACTCTATTACATGTACACTGTGAATAACCGCGCGTGAATTACAGCTCGAATGCACGAGTTCTGATTAAAATGCTTGTGATTACTTACATGCTGAAGGATGAAATCTTCAAATCCCTTAAATGTACCTAAATGTTTTACGTTACTGGCGTCTACATGCTCACTGATGAGTGCTCACTGCTGGCACTGCTAGGGGACGTCACTCACGGCGCGACAAACCTCGATGCAGGATCGGAAATGCTCAACTAAAACAAGACTGAAAAATACAGTAGTGAATGATTGCTCAATAATTATAGACAACATTAAAACTATAGAATGATGTCTCGCACTCACACGGTCAGGTTCCTGGTGTATCTGGTGTCACTATAAGACGCCATCAGGCCACTCATTCAGCAGCGCTCCCATATGGTCTAGCGGTTAGGATTCCTGGTTTTCACCCAGGCGGCCAGGGTTCGACTCCCGGTATGGGAAGGTATGGTTTTCGAAATTTATCAACATAATTGAAGATTGCCTAACTCAGATTGTAAATTACTCGGCTTCATCGTTAATCATGTTATTATTATAGATGTACACACGAGAACCACAGGAATAGAAACAAACAGAAATAACTCTCATAAATGCTGTTAGAGATTTATATCGAGTCCAGAAGATTCACTTTAATAAGATTAAATCTTATTAAAACATGAGGTGATCGTCAGTCCTACTTCAGTTGTGTTAAATAATATATCATAAAGGCCCAAATCCTGAGTGAGCTCAAATAGATGTTTTAAATTTGGGCTAAAAACTGTCTCGCACTGAAGAGAAATAGAGTGAATCTACAGAGAAAACATCAGTAAAGAGACTCATCAGGACAGAAATTACTACTCATTAAGACCCTGAGTGAATCCAGTCAACCAGCAGCACATGGGTTGATTAGCAGAGTTATTAAGTTAACTAAAACTAAAATTAAAACCGTAAAAAATAATATTACTTGAAATATAATAAACTGAAATAAAATATTTAAAAATGTTATTTCAGCTACAGTAGATGAAAACAAAAACTATTAAAAATGACAAAAACACATGAAATGTGTTGAAATCAAACGAAAACAAATTAAAAACTGAATCAAAATATTAATAAAAACTATAATAGTATCAAAATCAAACTAACTGATTAGTAGTGGTCAGTAGTCTAGACTATACAGTGATGGAAAGAGTTACTTTTAAAAGTAATGCGTTACAATATTACGTTACTCCCTAAAAAAGTAACTAATTGCATTACCTAGTTACTTTTTATGTAAAGTAATGCGTTACTTTACTTTTGTGTTACTTTTTCTCATCTGGGCTGGGCTTGCTTGTTTGTTTTGAATATAAAAAGTTTTATTTTTGGCAAAAGTAAAAGCCCTTTCACAGCAAAAGTGAAACGAATGAGCCTCAGGCTGAAGGAAATGTAAATGCACGTCTGTACTGTAGAGGGCGCCGCTCAAACTAACCTTCAGCTTTCAGTTCAACACTGTTAAAAAAAGAAAACAAACACAAATGTTATATTTATCTAAAGTCATTTTTGCTTATTAGTATGGTTGAATCAGATCACTGAAGGTCAGCAGCAAAGATAGTGGTTAATAAAATGGGATTAAATACATAAAGGATATTTGTGTTATTTAACATATTGCAGGTTTGCATCATATTCTGAGATTAGTAAATGCATGTTGACATTTAGTCTAGAACTACAGTAACATCATGTACACACACACACACACACACACACACACACACCCACACATCATCATGTTCACACAGCACACACAACGCCTCCTGATTCCTCTCAACATGAGGACAGGAGAGCTGTAAATGAAAAAGTAATGCATTACTTCACTAGTTACTTGAACAAAGTGATCTGATTACATGATGTGCGTTACCCCAACACTGAGACTATACGAGTAAAGCAGTCTGATGTTTGGATTCCCAGAACAGAAATAAAGCTATCAGCAGCACACAATCATAAAAAACAAACAAAACTTTATTTGGACTTTAAATACGGACACACCCATTAAAATATCAGTCACAGAAATATTTAAGAAGAAAACTGTGGCGCATTTACAGAAACAATGTGCAAACATGAAGAACGCTTTTAAATATATTTTACATAATAAATAAAAAAAAACAAGATGAGAAGATAACTTTCAAATAAATACAGTGCTACACCTGTGGCCTTTAAAAATCATCCTGCAACGATAAAATAAACATTAACAGTGAAAGTGCAACATCAAATTAATACAACAGGAACAATTATAATCAAAACATTAATACGTTTACAAATGGTGCAATAATTGGTCCATACAGATCAGTGATTAAGAGTGTGAGAAGTTATTAAAAAGCACTATTAATCATATAAACATATTCACATTAAAGTCTTTCATACCTGTGAATAGTTAAAAACCTGTTGAAATTTGGTTAAAACTTTTGAAATCATATTCCAACTTCAAGCAATCGTACAAACCATTTCAAGTTGTTGAGTTCCAGCCCGACTGGTTTAGCAGCATGTGTGTGTCTGCATAGAGCTGCGTCTGCTCTGGAGGAGAGGAGGCCCGGCAGATGCTCCTCAAGAACACCTGCAGGACACTCCGAGCCGCGTCAGAAACACCCGTCACGCAGGGCGCTGAGCGGCGCCACACTGCACAGACACAGAGACAGCAATCAAACAATCATATCTGATCAGAAAGAAGCATTACACCGTGTCTATACAGATATATAGACATACAGAACTCATTATAATCAGTGATGGTCTACACGACAGAAAACTGCTGCTGCGTTCTATTTATGACGTGTTGACACAAATTTCAAATGATTTTCAACGGTTGCTTTGTCGCGTCCGGTGTCTACACACGGTGTTACACAGTAACAGACATGATACAGTTACAGCTGCAACACTTTACACTAACGTTCCATTTCTTCACATTGTTGCGTTTTTTTGTCACTTTGACCTGGAGAGGATTTTCCCTTTCCTGAAAACGCTAGTTAATGTTTTCACACCGGACTAAAACTGACTGGCTTTGTTCACACAGGTTCTTACAACTTATTTCAAATCTTTTTTATTAGCATTTTCAATGACGGTATAGAAGGATACATCATAAAAAAGCAGTAAACCACAGAAAACTGTCCATATTAATCCAACCACCCAAATAACTCCTCAAAATAACTCAAATTTTGAAAAAAATAAAAATAAAAATAATAATAAAGAAAAATAAAATATAAATAAGTAAACGAGTAATTTAATAAAATAATAATAATAATAAACTTTAAATTCCTTCTGAAGACAGTATTTTAATAGTTGAAAGTTATGGATCGTTACCAGTTGGAGGTAAACAAGGTTATAACAACTTGCGATCATTTTTGTACTTTTTGGGATTTTTCCCCACCTTGTTAGATTAAACAGTTTATATCATCACCAAATACTGGATTCACTCTTTTTGTCAACTTGTTTTCGTTCGGTTAGCACAGGATGTGTTTTTTGGAACTGATTGACTGTTGATCAGTTTTTGAGCATAAAAGCATTATTTGTGGATAATTTTGCTAATATTCACTCATAAACTGAGGTTTGAGCTCAGATCAATGAGAACTACGATCACTCAGCCCCAAAAAGAAACACAAAACCTCTGCTAATTGAGAGAAAATCAGTTCATAAAAGGATTGAATGCAATATTTGGTGATAAGATGGAATAAATTAGAGTTATCATGAACGAACAATGAAAAATACTTCTAAAGCATTTATTAATTTTAATGTTAATTTCCACATTTACTAAACATTATTGAAATCAAAAGTTGCATATGTTAATGTTATTTAATGGACCTGAGCTGACATGAACTAACAATGAACAGCAGTATGTTTATTAACTAACATCAACAAGATGAATAAATACTGTAACAAACGCACTGCTCATTGTTAGTTAATGCACTGATGTGAACTAATGGGGCATTTGGTCATTTGGTTGTAATCAGTTTACGGTTGTCGAGCTTCATTATAACAGCACACAGTAATCTGGTTTTCATGCCAGCGGCTGCTTTACACGCTCAATCTGCTGGTTTTAGGTCAGCAGATCTAAATTCTTCACCATCTACCACTAATTTTAGGTTTTAATCCAAATGAGTTTGGAGTTTGATACTAAAGCAGCTTTGAGGATTTGAAGCGGCTGGAGCTGGTCCCGGCGCTGGATCTGATGCGTTCACCTGCGCAGGGGTGCGGTGAGTTTGCTGCGAGGGCTGGAGCCGCTGGTGATGAAGGACGCGGGCCGCGGGAGACCGCTGCGAGACGGAATCTGAGACGCGGCTGCTTTAGGGATCCCGCTGACCGACAGACTCTGTAAACTGACGGAGGAGCTCTTGATGGTGGGACTGACGTACGCGGTGGCTTTGAGCGGCTGACAGGACGAGAAGCTCCCGAGGCTCTGCACGCGGTTCTGCAGCTGCGCCGGAGCAGGAACTGCAGAGAGAGACAGACACACTCCATCAGATGGACACAGTCACGCTGCTGCAGCGGTGTGATGCGCGGGAGACGTACTGCAGCTCTGGAGATGCGTCAGAGTCAGAGCACCACACGACTCAAAGCTCTGGCTGCTCTTCACGGACGCCGGCCGCAGCGCTGGACTCAGAGCCGCAGACAGCAGCAGGTTCGGCATACTCCTCCTCAGCTTATCTGAAGAAACAGCACTTCCTGTCAGATCAGCCAATCACATGCATGAGAGATAAACATGAGCCGCAAACATTAATAAAACATGTTCACATTAGATTAAACCCCAATTACATCTGATGTGCTTTAAGAGGATTGAGAGACAACTGTGTGTGTGTGAGTGTGAGTGTGAAACCTGTAGTAAAGTCTGTAAAGAGATGGACCAACGAAACAGAGCAGGCATTACAAACCTGTTTCGACTGCACTGATTGGAGTGTTTTTGAAGCTGCCACCAACGATCTGGACGAGCTTACGGAATCTGTAACATCATATATCAGTTTCTGTGAAGACATGTGCATCCCTACCAGGACTCATTTAACATTCAATAATGATAAGCCATGGTTTACAGCAAAACTTCCTCATCTTCGTCAGGCCAAAGAGGACGCCTACAAAAGGGGGGACAGAGTCTTGTACAATCAGGCCAGAAACTCTCTGTGTGACTGTGTCTGTAATCCTTTGGCCATCAACTGCGGAAATCAGTTGAAAATGAGAGTAAGTTGATAATCTTGAATGTTTTATTAAGGAATATGTGATGCATCTAATAATCGTTTGTACTGATGTGTCCGGATGGGCTGATGGGTAAAACTGATGTTCAGATGTGAATGTCCCTCCTGTCCTGAGTGAATCTCTAAGCGTCTTAATATATAACACACACACACACACACACTCACACTCACACACACACTCACACTCACACTCACACTCACACTCTCACACAC